CCTTCCCATGGGACACAAGGTCACGGTCATATGAGTACAACAGAGGGTTGTGTGACACAGATAGGCGGCCACTCTGTCCCACCCCCTCCCCAGCACACAGGGGCTGTGAACTTGAAAGAGTCAAGTGGCTTTCTTTGGCAGCACAGCAGACATGCAGCCATTTAGAGGCCTTATCATTTGAAATTGGCTGACAGAGCTGTCCTACTTAGGGAGAAAATCTTTCTTTTGGTCGTGGAAAGAGCTGGAACTTTAAGCAAAGCTACACAGACTTCAATTTTTGCCTCTACCGCTTGCCAGCTGAGCAATCTTGAGTAAATAATTGCTGTGAGCCCTTTCTCCATCTGTGAACACCCCAAGAGATAACGATGAGTGATCCTGTTTCCTGAATTATGTGAATTACTTTTTAATCCTTACAACAACCCTATGAAATAATTACGCTGATGACTCCCATAATACAGATGAGGAAACTGAGGCTTAGGGAGGTTGTGCATATTTTCAAAATTTACATACCCAGTAAATGGCAGAGCTGGAATTTGAACTTATGTCATGACTTAAAACGCTATGTTTCTAACCATTTACGTTCTCCTACTTCTCTTGCAAAGATGTGTATGAGGAACTAAGTGAGATCCAGTTTTACTGAAATGTTGGTAATTAATTTGACTGTGAAATACCTAACTATTCTGATACTTACAATCTTAGTTTTAGTTAGAGAATAGATTTGAGCCTATGTATTTATACTATTTTTTCAAGCATAATTCCCTTTTTAATTAAAATTTTCCCTTAATTTTCACATTTTTATTTTTTAGTTTGTTTTGTCACATAATTGCCTTTTAAAAAATTATTTTTACATAATTGCTTCTTTTGTTTTTAATTGAAGTATAGTTTACAATGTTGTGTCAGTTTACATAACTGCTTTTTGAGGAAGGAAAAAATCTTTTGAACATTGTAAAAATGGTTAAGTAATTAGCATACTCTTATCAGGGTAGTATATACCTTTATTAACTGTGATCAGCCATAAATGGTCATTCTTTTCTTGACTCAGCAGTGACATGGGGAAGGATCGGGTGACTGGGAGCTGGGAACCTGGGTTCTAATCCAAGGTCTGAGTTCATTGGCCTGTGTTTATTTTAGGCCAGCCGCTCTTTTTGGGCTGCTATTGCTTCACATTAAAACAAAGATATTAGATGAGATGACTCGAAAAGTCCTTGTAGCATGAACAGACTGTGATTCCTTGTAATTTTAAAAGAGGATGTAGTTCAGAAGAACAAAATTAAAATCAATTTCTGTTTTAAGACTCTTGATAGTGATATACGAAGTGGCTCTCAGCAAGTGATAGACGAGAAACAGAAACTGAATGAAAGAAATTTGACTTGATAATTTCTAAGTTCTTTCCAGCTTTGAAATTCTATCATCCAAATCATACTAAGTGACCTCAGAGTACTTTGTAATATTTCAAAGGACTTTCAATTCATTTATCCTTTCTGATTCTCATAGGGACAGTATGGAGCAGTGAGGAGGGAGAATATATCCACACTCAATAGTT